AGCATTGGGTGCATATACATTTATGATAGTCACATCTTCCAGTTGATTTGGTCACTTAATCATTACATATGCCCTTCTCTATCTCCTTTAAAAATTTTGTGTTAAATCTGTATTGACTTGTATTAATTAGTATGGGTACTCCTGCACTTTTGCTTTCCATTAGTATGGAATATCTATTTCCATTCTTTCACTTTTAGTCCACATGTATCATTGTTGGTGAGGTTTGTTTTTTGTAGGCAACAAATAGATGGCCCTTGTTTTTTAATCCATTCCAACAGCTTGAATCTTTTTAATTGAATAATGTAGGCCATTTACATTCAAGGTTGTTTATATTTAATGACTTGATCTTGCTATTTTTCCATAAATGTTACTATTGTTTGCTATGGATTTCCTTTTTACTTTTTTTGGAGATTTTTTGCATTCCCATTCTTTCATACTGATGACTATCTTCATCTGTTTCTCATGTAGCATATCCTTAAGTAGCATCTGTAAGGCTGAACAAGTAGTGACAAATTCTTTCAATTTCTGTTTGGGAAGGTCTTTCACTTTCATTTATAAATGAGAGCTTTGCTGCATATGGTATTCTGGGTTGATAGTTAATTTCTTTTAGGACTTGTAATTTCTCTTCTGTTCTCTCCTAGCCTGTGGGGTTTCTTATGGTAAATCGGGTATCAGTCTAATTGTAGATCCTCTTAAGGTAATCTGTCATTTATCTCATGCACATCTTTTCTTATGTTTTACTGTTGAAAGATTGGCTATAATGTGTTCTTGTGAAGATATTTTCTGGTCATGTCTATTAGGAGTTCTATGTGCTTCCTGTACTTGGATGTACCTTTGTTTCTTCAAATTACAGAAGTTTTCTGCTATTATTTCACTTAATAGACTTTCTTTTTATAAAAAAATTCTAGTTATTTATTTGAGAGGTAGAATACAGAGAGAGTGAGAGACAGAGAAGCATCTGCTGGTTCTTTCCCGAATGGGTGCAATGGCTGGAGCTGGGGCAATCGGAAGCCATTAGCCAGGAGCTTCTTCTGGATCTCCCACATAGGTACAAGGGGTTCAAGCTCTTGGGCCATCTTCTGTTGCTTTCCCAGGCCTTAGCAGAGAGCTGGATCAGAAGAGGAGCAGCTGGGATATGAACTGGCACCCATATGGGATGCCTTCCATACCACAGCTCTGGCTCCTGAATAGGCCTTCTAATTCATTCTCTGTTTCATCAATTTCAGGAATGTCTAAGCCTTGTATGTTAGGTCATTTGATAGTATTTCATAAATCTTGAACGTTCCTCCTCCACCTCTCCTCCTTCCTTTTTTGTCTGATCGAGATATCTCCAAAGCTATCTCTTCTAGTTCGGATGTTCTTTATTCTTTCTCACCAAGTCCATTTTAAAGCTTTCCACTGTATTTTAATTTGATATAATAAATTTTCACTTACATTAATTCAGTATGATTTCTCTCTAATATCTCTCTTGGCAAAATTTTTCATCCATGTCATATGTCTTATGATCATTTTTTTTAATTTTCAGGTTTTTCATCAATATCTTCCTCTTCACATTGTAATATTGAAGTATTGTTTTCCTTTGTGGGAGTCTTATCGTTTGTCTTGTTCATGTTTTTCATATTTCTACATTTATTTTTAGTGATTTGTCAAACCACTTATAGGTTTTCTCATCTGATGGGTTTTATCTTTGAACTATGCCTCTGTAGCTTAGTGGGATGTCTGCTCCTTTAGTAGATATTCAGAAGCATGGGCTGGTTGGGTCAGAAAGCTCCAGTTAGTGCTGTGGAGTGGTGCAAGTTTTCCAGGGTGACACTCAAGTTGGGCTTGGTAGATCTCTCTTTTCAGCAGAGGGGAGGGCATGGTCACATCAGCTGGTTTGATGACTGCTTCTCCTCTGTGCTGTGGTGAACAAAACCATGGGCCACCTCACAGTGTCTACACACTCTACCCATACAGATACATGAATTGCACAAAAGATCTGTGTGGTCCTCAGAACCCTCTGCAATGACCCAGTCCAAGCACTCAAGGAAATTAGCCTCTGAAGTCAGAAACAATGATTGTCCAGAGACCCTCTAACAGCCCACAGTCCTCCATGGAGAGACTAAGGTGTTCTCAGATCCTGATGCCTTTGGTGTTGCACCTTGGCAGCTTGAGTACGGTTACTCATAATAGAGTGAGGGGAGAGGAGTGACTCCTAGGCTTAACTGGGCACCCCATACCCTGCCAACTCTCCAAATCAGACTCCAAATTAGTGGGGCCTGAGGAATTAACCCCTCAGATATAATCCCCTTTTCCCATGCACATCAGCTGCAACTGCCTGCGCTTACCTTATCAAGATGGTGCATCCTCCCTGCTATTCGCCTGCAGCCTTTGTTGTGGGGAGAATGGGAAGCAGAAGGTAGTGTACTCTCTGTTCGCAGGGTTAGGTGGGCACTCTGTCCTCCTGCTAGCACTCCAGGCCAGATTCAAGGTCAGTGTAGACTACAAGATTCTGCTCTGACAACATCAGCAGTGCCATAGGTTGCCACAGTCTCCTCTCACTTCTTTATAAGGAGATGGTGTCTCTTCCTGATGCTGATTCTTATGCTGACAGGAGTGGAACCAAAGCTCACTGCCAGGCTTTTATGGCACTCTGTGGGAACAGGGGCCTGGAGAGGGTCTAGGTGGAGGAAGCAAGGTGGCTCCCTTGCTCCAAGCCTGGCAGTTACTAGGATCCCTAGGCTTTTAAGTCAGTCAGTGACTGTGGAATTCCCTCTGAGTTAAAACTGTGAGTAGATAGGCTTGCATCAATTTCTCCCTCCCTTGACATGGTAAGATGGTAGCTGACAGTTGGCTGATCCATGTGGCTGGCTGTAGCTGTGCCTCTTCTCTTCCTCCCTCTTGTTCCAAGGAGCTTGTTCTCTTCTTCACCAAAAATTTCCATCAGCAAGACCCCTGGAAAAATGGTCCTTTTTTGTTCTTTTCATATCCCAGAGCTGCTAACATTAGTGTGGCGATACTCTATTCAGTCATTTTGGAAGACTTCTTGGGGTAAATCTTAAACTCCAAACCAGGCCTGGGATGACGTGGTTTTCAAAGCAAATAAGATGTGTGCAAAGCCAGCATTAGTGAACCATAAGATGTGAAAACAAAGATACCAAGCACAGAGAAAATATTAAAGAAAAGTAATGAGGAATGTGAAATACAGGAGAAGGTATAAGAGTTAACAAAATGAATTCCAGAATTAAATAAAGAGAAGCTTTAATATAAAGTTTTATATTTTTGTACAGATGGTTTGCACATGCTGTTCATCATAAGGTTAATACTTAACATTGTGAATATCACTTATGCAGATATTATACCCATTTAAAATCTAAAACTAAATTAAAATCAGGATACCTTCCCTCTGATTGGTCAAACAGCTTAGAATAGAGGTTCTTAAACTTCATAATTGTTTTTTGCTATATTTCTAAAAAAAAAAAGTATATCCTTCTTTAACAAAAAAGAAAAAAAATCCACACTCCTGTACCCACTATATTTTTCATGTAATTTAGAGGGTTCATTCTCTAAACACCCAATGGAACAAAAGTAACAGTGTAAAAACAACTGGTTTTAACTAGGCATACAGTAGAAGGCTGAAAAATTATAAGAATTGACATTGAATTACACCTGAAGAATAAATGGAATTTACCTGTATTTAAAGAGGAAAAACACCTTTCAATTAATGGTTATAAATTTTACCCACTTATAAATTATATAAACATATAACATTTAATAATAAAATGCAACAATATAATATGTATAAGTGCAAATAAGTATATTAATCACATTTTCAAAATCCAAAGAAAAAAATATATATAAAAGATTTATTTACTTGAAAGTTCCAGAGAGAGGTAGAGCCAGAGGTAGGGGGGAGAGAGAGACAGAGAGAGAGAGAAAGGTCTTCCTTTGCACTGGTTCACTCCCCAAATGACTGCAATGGCCAGAGTTGAGGCAATCTGAAGCCAGGAGCTTCTTCTGGTTCTCTGATGCAGGTGCAGCTGCCCAACAACTTGGGCCATCTTCCACTGCTTTCCCAGGCCATAGCAGAGAGCTGGATTGAAAGTGGAGCAGCCAGGACTCCAACTGGTGTCCATATGGGATGCCGGTGCTGCAGGTTGGGACTTTAACATGCTGCACCACAGCATTGGCCCCAGGGAATATATATTTAATATAGCTTAAGTAAACATAATTAGCTCAGGAAAACTGCAGTATTGATAATACATTATGTTCTAAAAGTCTATCATTTACAATTTCATTATTGGTTACAAACTAAAAGGGATCCCTTTGCATTATTCTTGTTTTCATACTTTTAGAACATAATTACCCTGCAGCTTCTAATTAAGTCTGTTTTAAGGCACAAAAGAAAGCTGCTTTGGATTTGCACTTCACATGAGGACTCATTAAATATTTTTGCAACAAGCTATCTAATTAACATTCTCTAAGAATTATTTGAAAGGTAAGAACATGCTTATCAGTCTGATCAACAATAGTATATTCCATATAGTTAGACTTGCCAAGTGCCATAGGCATTAAATACATGCAAAGAAAAAAAACACAAAGAATTACTTTCTGTAACATAAGTGCTACATTAATTAACTTAAAAACTCATTTATTTTATTCATCTGTATAATTAAAGGCTTGTCAAACCATGTAGTTCTTCATCTCATCAGTGATGAGCTTCAGCATTACATATCTTCTGGCAAATTTTACTTAGTGACAGGCATCACATGTAGCAAATAAAATTGAAAACCTGAAGGCGATTATGTGAGGGACATTGATTGAAAAATAAACTAAAATATGTTTATTTTGGTGTGAATTTTTTCTGAAATCTTTGTACAGTTTTCTATAAGAGTTTCCCATGTTTTTTTATTTATTCACCAAGAATATCAAATCATAACAAGAACAGGGAGGTTTGTGATGTTTTAACTTGTCCTTGGTTGGTCCTGTGCTCTCTTGCTCAGGATAACCTTGAAACATAGCATACCCTTTCCACCTCAAAGATACCAGAGCATGCAGAAAAGGTCTAGAGATTTTTCCAAGCCTTACTCGGAGAAATCCCAAAGAATTGTCATTATCTGAGGGTTCCTGGGAACACCTAATTTGCAAAGGCATCTTCATTTGAGTTTCTTCTCTCAGAGTTTAAAGGCTTCTGCCTTGGGATAGACAAGATACACAGTATTTGTTGAAAATGTATAGATAAATCGTATGAAGCTAAGTAGACCCGGGGTAATCCCCTTGGTTCCTTTGATATTGTGGTATCAAAGTAGGAATCAGCCAGTTTTTGTTCATTAGAATGGAATAAGATAGGAAGGACCCTGGCTGAATTCTAATTCTAATTCTAGAATGCAACTTAGAAAAACAGCTTTGCTTGGCTACTGTAGTTTCTCCTGTGTAATATAGAGAGTAAATAGAATTGTTAAACACTTGCCATGTGATTCTGCTCATTTACTGACATATTCCAATTCCAATTTCTGTGGTCAACTCTCTGAGTTGTTATTTAGATGTTGTATTTCCTGGGAAATTCATTAGAACTCATAAACTAATACTGAGCCTATGGATGGGTTAGTTACTCCTTTTGTAATCTATTGTTTTATATAAATTTCAGGATTTTTTTTAAAATAATATATTTAGAATGTTCATAAGAATTATATAATCAATAAATGTAATCAATTTGATTGTCCATCAACAGCTGCCCACTATCAATGTATCTGGAGGTATATGAGAGACAAAATTCACATTGAAGGAATGTATTGAGTGAATCTGCCAAAGTGTGACTCTAAGATAACAGCAGAACGAATCCACAGCAACAGAGAAGTAACAAAAAGAACAAAGACTCGACGGGACAGTGAGGAAAGAGGATAGTAATACTGCTAAGGATGGCAACATGGCACATCCAGGTACTGGCTAGGAGTCACCATTTTACCAAGTCAAGGTAGGAAGAAATTACTGCACACCCTGCACCCACAGCTTAGCTCAGAGAGAATTCCAGTCACCCACTGAGTGTGACTTCAGTCGGGTGAAATAACTGGGTGTTGCCAACTGCTGGACTCTGAGAAGGGAAGCCATATTGCCTTCTTCCTCTCCCACAGCCCTGCAGAGCCCCAGCCTGTGCAACTGATCTCTGCACAACTGCTACCAGAAGCGAGTCAGAGTCAAGGCAACACATGGCGAAGACCCCCTGCATCCTGCAACTGTGAGAGTTTTGGGGCAGAGCGAGGCTCACTCATTCTACATGAGTCAGGGATGTTCCCCTTAGTTTCTGAGAGCTAGCACAGTCAGCAACACATTAAAAATATCTGTTCCCACCTTGGGATTTCTGGGTAATGACCCACACTATACACTACAACAACAGGAATTTAATGTTCTACTTTTCTCAACACACTGAAATCTACCCAGTGGATCTAGAGAAGAATCTGACTGCATTCCACCTCTCCAGGCAGCTTGTGGTTACTCTGTAGGAATACAGCAGAGTTAATTCACACCCCTCCTTGTTGGGATTTGGGCTGTTGGATTTATAATCTGTAGCACCAGCTGCACTCTCTCAACAAGCCCCGAGGAAGGTTCCATCCACAGTACACAGTCCTGGAGTCATAGCAATTAATGCTACAAATTGTAGCATCACTCAGGCTTGCAAGTGGGACAAGGGAACAGTCCCATTTGTCTCCCACAGCTCCAAGAACAAGGTCCTGGCTATATAATCCCAAGTGTTACTAACACTGAATACTCTGTGGACTGAAAATAGACACCATAGCAAACCCACATCTCAAAGTCACATCTAAAAGTCACACTTCTAACTCTACAAACTACAGCACACTGGATCACTATGTCACTTATAGACACAGCTGATGAAGATTAAACAAAAGAAATCACTTAGAAGCTACACTTCTGGGCTCACCTAGAACCAAACCCAATAAACAAGCCACGTGTAAACCTTACATTCTATGTAAAATATAAACTCATTTCCAAGAAAACCTACTTTACAAAGAAGGGAGTATTACAACAGATGCACAGACATCACAGGGACAGGAAATGTGAAGAAGCAAGGTAGCATGACACCTGCAAAAGACCACAATCAATTATCTCCAGAATTAGATCTGAATCTGAGGGAAATCTATGAAATGCCAGAAATAGAAATAAAAAAGATTGTAAGAAAGCTTAATATGATGCTAGAAAAACATGTTAAAGAATGAGGAAATCAATGAGTGATGTTAATGAAAGTATTACTAAGGAGATAGAGATCATTAAGATGAACCAAATAGAAGTTTGGGAAATTAAATCTTCAGTCAATGGAATAATATATGATTGACCACTTTAACAGCAGAATAGACCAATTAGAGAAAAGAATTTCTGACCTGAGAGCAAGACTTTCAAAATAACCCAATCAGACAAAAATAAAGAGAAAATAATTTAAATGAATGAAGAAAATCTACATGAAACTTGGGATACCATAAAATTCCTATTATAGTTATTCCTGAAGGAGAAATAAGAGACATGGACATTTAGATACAGGAAGCTCAAAAGACACCTAGCCACTTCAACCCAAAAAGATCTTCTCCATTCTAGTCAAATTAGCAAAAGGTAAAGATAAGGAAAGATCCTAAAGACAGTAAGAGAAAAGCATCAAGTTAAAAACCAATCAGATTAATCTCAGATTTCTGAGCAGAAACCCTACAGGTCAGAAGAAAGTGGGATGATATATTCAAGGTCTTAGAATATTCTTGATTTCAAGTTTTGTTTTATCTAATGAAGCTATCCTTTATAAGTGAAGGAGAAATGATGTATTTTCCAGATAAACAAAACTTGAGAGAATTCATCACCAGCAAACTAACGTTACAGGAGCTCTTGAATGGGGGTTCCTGCTTTAGAAGTAAACATCATGAAAACACATGACCACCAAATTCACTAACAGAGCTGCTATAATCAATATCCAATCAGTGAAGTGACAAGTGTGAGTTCTTATCTATCAATACTTACTTTGAAACTAAATGGATTAAGATCTCTAGCCAAAAGCTGAATGGATAAAAGAAATGAATTAAAAAAAAAAAAACCCAGACCTCACTATAAGCTGCCTATAAGACACTTACTTTACAAAGATACACACAGACTGAAGGTAAAGGACTGGAAAAATATATACCTGGCAAATGGAAACCAAATTTGAGCAAGAGTAGGTGCCCTTTTATCAGATAAAACGGTCTTTAAATCAAAAACTGTAGAAAGAGATGAAGATACTGTATTTTGATAAAAGTTTTGATTCAGCAAGAAGACATAGCAGTCATAAATATGTGTACCCAACAGAAGACCATCCAGATATATACAGCAAATGCTATTAGACATAAAAGGAATTCGAATATACTCCAATACAATAACAATGGGTGATTTCAACACTCTACTCTGATCAGCGGACAGATCAACCAGACAGAAAATCAATAAAGATAAATCAGAGTTGAAACATACTATAAAGCAAATGGACCTAACAGACATTTACAGGACATTGCATCCAACAGCAGCAGAACACACACTCTTCTCATCAGCACATGGAACATTTTCTAGATACACCACATATAATCAAATCACAATAGATTTTAAAAGACTGAAATCATACCATCTATCTTCTCAGACCACAAAAGAATAAAACTAGGAATCAAGAAGAACAATAGAATACTCCTACACACATAGACATTAAAGAACATGCCACTAAATGATCAATGGGAACTGAAGAAATTAAAAAGGGAATTTAAAACTATATTGAAAGGAATGAAAAAACACAACATATCAAAAGCTGTGGGATACAACATAAGCAGCATTATGAGGGAAGTTTTTAAAATTAAGATCTTACATTAAAAAACAGAAATGTCTCAAATAAATGATGCATCTTGAAGACTTAGAAAAACATGAACAAACAAAACCTCAAAACAGCAGGAGGCAAGAAATAATAGGGATCAGAGTAGGAAGAAATTAAATTGAAGCTACAAAAATAATACACAAGATCAAGAAAACAAAAATATATAGAGATGATAAACAAAATAAACTTTTATCCAGAGTAACAAGAAAATAAATAAATAAATAAAATTAGAGATGCTAAAGGAGACATTACACCTGACACCACTAAATACAAAGGATAAAATGAAATTACTATGAAAATCTATATGCTAATAAACTGGAAAACCTAAAAAAAATGGGTTAACTTCTGATTATATATTATCTACCAAGATTAAATCAACAATATATAGACAATCTTAACAGACCCATAACAATGAATGAAATTGAAGAGTAATTAGAATTCTTCCATCAAGGAAAAGTCCAGAACCTAGTGGCTTTACAACTGAATTCTACAAAACATTTAAAGAACTAACTCTAATATTTTTCAAACTATTCTAAAATATGGAATAGGATAGAACTCTGCCAAACTTCTTTTATGATAACAGCTTCACACTGATTCCCAAACCAACCAGATATAACATAAAAAGAAAACGATAGGCCTGTATAATTGATGACCATAGATGCAAAGATTCTCAATAAAATACTAGCCAAACAACTCCAAAATAACATCAAAATGATCATATATCATGATTAAGTTGGATTTATCCCCCAGATGCAAGGGTGGTTCTACATTCACCAATCAATAAATGTTATAAATCACATTAACAGAATGAGAAACAAAACCCATATTGTCATCTCAATAAATGTAGAGAAAACATTTGAAAATTTAATACCCTTCATGATATAAACACTCTACAAATTAGGTATAGAAGGAACATATTTTAAATTATAAAGGCTATTTATGATTAACAGCCAATATCAAACTATCATTGGCATTCTTTATAGAATTAGAAAAAAAGTTCTAAAATTCATATGAGGGGCTGGTGTTGTGGCATAGTGGGTTAATCCATCACCTGCAATGCCAGCAACTCATATGGGTGCAGTATTGAGGCCTGGCAGCTCCGCCTCAGACCCACCTACCTGCTAATGATTTGTAGGAAAGCAGCAGAACATGGTCCAAGTGCTTGGGCCCCTGCCATCCATATGCGAGGCCCAAATGAAGCTTCTAGCTCTTGGCTTCAACTTGGCCCAATGCTAGCAATTGTGGCCATCTGAAGAGGGAATCAGCTGATGGAAGATATGTATCTGACTGTCTGTGACTTTCAAAATAAGTAAGTAAATCTTTAAAAAAAAAAAAGCCATATGAAATCACAAAGGAATCATAATATCCAAAGCAATCCTTAGGTTGGGGGAGGGAAATCAAGCTGGAGCCATCGTTTCAAAGCATACTATAAGGCTATAGTATTAAAGCAGCGTGGTGCTGGCATAACAAGTTGCAGACAGATCAATGCATCAGGAAAGGTAGCCCAGAAATTAATTGGCCATTATCCAAAAAACAGAGAGTAACAAATACTGGCAAATATATGGAGAAAGGGGAACACTTAGAAACTATTGATTGAAACGTAAATTAGTGCAGTCATCGTAGAAAATAGTATTGTGATTTCTTAAACTAGAAATAAACTTGCCATATAGCCAGAATCCTGGTTATATACCTAAGACATGAATATATTATATCAAAAAGATACCTGCACCATTGTGTTTGTAGCAGCTCTGTTCACAATAACCAAAATATGGAGTCAACCAAGGTATCCATCATCAGATAGATGGATAAAGAAAATGTGGCATATGTATGCAATGGAGTATTATTCAAATATAAAAAGGAATGAAATTCTACTATTTGCATCAAAATGGATGCAGCTAGAAAACATCATGTTGAATGAAATAAGCCAGATGTAGAAACACAAATACCACATGTTATTCCTTACATATGTGAGCCAAAATTAAAAAAAAAAAAAACTAAAGAAAAATGCCTGTGTGTAGCAGTGTTGTTGCAAATATATTTTGACCAACTGTTTCATTTCTTTGTCAACTGGTGGTTAAGAATGTTATACT